GCACCCATGCTGGAGAGCCATCTTGACGAAGCCTTTGCGTCTGCTCAGGATTAACTTGGTCACCCCTGGCTGGCAGGAGAGCGACTCGGCGGCGCCCCCGACCACAATGGCCACGGCGTTTCCGGTGCCGTTCCTGGAGATGAGGTACTCGATCCCGCGGCGGGTCACCGGGTAGAGACCTGGGAGAAAGAGCCCCAAAAGGGTTACAGGAGTTAAAATACCCAAAGGAGAGACCCTTCGGAAAGCTGTGAAGAACAAGAAAGGAGCATTTCAATAAGGCATCAAAGAGAAAAGCCCTCCCACCCTGCAGTCAGCGCTGAACTGCCAAAAACTGTGAAGAATCCTAGAAAAAAATCCTGGGAAAAAAAAAAGGGGGGGGACTGGAATTATCATGACTACATTAAGAAACCTTCATTAAAGAATGTCCAGCCTTGCCTTAATTACACCACTGTGAAGTTAATTAATTAATATTATTAATTAAAAGTACTATTTACTGAATGAAAACCATAAAAGAAAAACAATAAGTTTAGAGGGTTGGGTTACATCTTATCCTAAAGGTTGTGGATAGCTCACAGATAAAGGGTTGTTTCGATCACCCCTAAATTCTGCCTCCTCTACCCCAAAGGAACATCCCGGCCAGGGGACAGGAGAGGAAGGGAGGAGAAAAGCAACAGGCTCACCGCCACTCATGAGGTATTCTCTGATCCCAGGCAGTCGGAAGTTCCCGGCCAGAGTGCCCAGAAAGGGTTTGATGCCTGGGAACTTTTCACAGAAGCCGGTGGAGCGGGTGACAAAGTTGCAGAACGCTCCGATGCACAAGATCCCGTGAGGATGGACCCCAATGATGTAGTTGTGGCTGGGAAGCAGGTCGTGAGTCTTCACCAGCTGAAGGCAGAGGACAAAGCGGATGACGGCTGAGCCGGACAGGCCCCCCCCCCCCCCGTTCTGCGTGGGCTTCTGGGCCAAGGGAATTCGACACAGGCGGCAGAGGATTCTGCAACCCGCACCCTATGTTGACCTCTCAAGAGACCCTTGGGAGTTCAGGGCATGCGTGGCCTGGATCATGCCCCCTGTGGCTCTGCAGAGTGTGCCTGTGGCAGGAAAAGCTGGGACTCAGCTGTTTTTCAGAAGGACTCCTACCCAGGAAGCAGAAGCCACAATGAATGTTCCTCCTCTGGAGGAACGCCAGGTAGAATCTAACAGTCTTGCAACCATGAAGGGAGAAAGCTGACAATGGGTCAAGATGCTCTGGCCATGAACCGGGGTGGGTGGGTTTGGAACTGAAGGCCTTCCAGGCCCCTCCCATCTCTGTTATTCTGTGACCCCCACCCCCACCCCCAGCTGCTTTGCCTCCTTCTCGTGCTTCTCCGCAGCTGTCCTTTCTACCATCCCTGTCCCACACAACATGGGGGGGGGGCCTGGGAAATGGGTCCCACAGCTTTGGAAGCCAAATTCTAGCCAAGCGATGGTGCTCGACTAGGAAGGCATAATCTCAAAGCTCCTTCAGCTGGGGCCAAGGGCCGCCCCAGTTGCTTGGGCTTGACTCCGGTGCAGGGCAAGGGAGAGCTTTTGCTTCAGGCCCCTCTCCCCACCTCTGGTTTGTCCCCTTGGGATCCTTTGCAATGTCCTTCGAAACACACTTCCCTGTTGGACCTTCACCTCTGGAGCCATTTCATATGTTTGATAATGGTTAATATTTGGGAGGCTCCAATGCAGAAATGGGCATCTGAGGGAACAGTTGCAGACACCTGATCCATTCGTTTTGTCATCGGGCTGATTGGCTAGGAAAATTACTGGACAAGACCTTAGCAATACAGGGAAATCAGTTGTGCTGTGCTACAAACCTGTTGCTGTTTGGAAATGGAAGGCTCTCTTGCCCGCCTTTGCCTTTCTCTGCCGGCAGCTGCTTGGGTCTTGAACACCTGCAGTTGGCTCCAGTTCTATCCAGGTTCTGACGCTGAGGTTCTTCCCCAGCACCAGAGATAAATCTGCAGCCCAGGGCTCCTCACAAACATGCAGCGCCTCTTGTCCAAAATGGAGGCTGAACAAACACCTCTCCCTCCCCTGCCCACCGCCTTCTAACATCCCTGCAGGTTCTCACCTGAATGGGAAAATAGTCTCGGAAGTGATCCCAGACGGCCAAGCTCCGTATCCAGGAAGAGCTTCTCCCACCTGCAAGGCACCAGAAGGGAAAATACGTGAAGGGCAGGAAGGCCATCAACGTCTCCACTGGGGAGGAAGGGGCAGGCGAAGAGCAGAGCAGGTGGCCTGCAATAACCAGCTGGGGCTGTTCTCTGCCTAGTGAATGGGAGAGCGTCCATCTCAGAGCTTTAACCTCTAAAGCATCCTTCTTCTTCCAGGCTGCAGCCTCCCATCCAAGCATGTGTCTAGAATGTTGCAACAGCACCCTAAGAACTTAATGGGAATTATAGGCTAGTGAGGTGCTTCTAGTGAGGAGTCTCTGCTAGACAGTCCCTGGGGAATTCCCTGAAATCCTACAAAAAAAATTCTAATTCCCTACCCCCCCCAAAAAAAAACCCACACAAACCTTTGCATGTATTTTATAACTCTATAAGCCCTTCTGGAAATTTTGTGAAAGGGGAGTATAGTTGCTTTGTATGAATCATGAATCATCCTGGACCTCTAACATTAACAAACCTTCTGGCTGCATCTGCACCCTCCAGAATGGTCTGCCTCTAGGTAGGAAAGGGTCGGTGGCAAGAGGGAACATTTGGACTTTTTTTTTTTTTTTTTAAAGTGGAGTGTTGTACCTCATTGCTTTTAATCTGTTTTTGGTGTTGATTTTGTTACCACTTTTTAGTGTGGCATTTGAATACTTTTAATATTTGTATACTTACTGTTTATAGCTTTTAAATATTGTCTTTTAATGATGTAAGCTGTCTTGGGTCTATTTTAAGGAGATGGATGGGATAAAACTATATTGAACAAACAAACAAATAACCATGAGAACTTAGTAGGTGGCATATTTTGATGGTTGGAAGAGGGTTTATATCACTTCTTGAGAAATTTTGGGAACAAAAATAATAGTAAAAGCAACGCAGCAACTACACGGAAGTCTGTACATTACTGTATGAGAGGGACAGAAACCGTTTCCACCCAGGCTCATGGGGGAACTTCAGATAACTTTTTTTTTTTGGGAGGGGGGAATGCTCAGGAATCAAACCACTGATGCCAATAGACAAAAGGCTGAGCAAGTGGGGGATAGATATCTTGTGAAAGGAAGACTTAACTCTACGCACCTTTCTCAGGCGTTTCCCAGTCAAAGATAAGCCAAGCCACGTAGAAGGCAGAAATGGGCCAGAAATTGGTGAAAACCAAATAGATGAGAAGAAGCAGGAGAACAATTCCTGAGGGGAGAACAATAACAACCATAGATGCCCGTTTCCCACCAGCACCCACATATATAGCCTTGCCCACATGCCAGGCGTCCTGAGATCTAAGGGTGGCCCTTGGAAGCTGTGGCCTTGCCTTCCTGTTTTCCCTTCCCTCCCTCCCTTCCCGAATCTTCTTCAGGAACGTCTAGTAGGTGCCAAGAAGGATGTGATCTTTGAGGCCTCTTTGAGAAGTCACCGATTTTCCTGCCTTGCAGACTGGCTTCCCCTATTTCCCCTCATATTTGGCAAGTATGAAGTTACAGCAGGAATCCACCTGAGATCCTTTTCTCTTTCTTGACTGCTGGAGCCCCTTTGATGATCTCTTTTCTTCTTCTCTTGCCTCCCAGCTTTTCCTGAAAGCCCCAGCCCGAGCCGCTTCCTGGAATCTAAATCCAGCCCAGCCTCCACCTGCCTTTGTGATCATTCATGATCTGGGTTTCAGTCTTGCTTCCTCAAGTTCCTAGTTCCCTCTTCTGAAGCAATGGCCTTGTACTTGTTTGGTAATTTGTATCATTCTCTTATTGTCTGGCACTGTACCATAAAACTAAGATTTGCTTGAAATATGGTGCTGGAGGAAAGCTTTCGAGGATACACTGGACTGCTAGAAAGATGAACAAGTGGGTCCTAGATCCAATCAAGCCTGAAACATCTCTGAAGGAAAACAGGATGAAACTGAGACTGTTCTGCTTAGGGCATATGGTGAGAAAACAGGATTCTCTGGGAAAGACAATAACGCTGGGAAAGGTGGAAGGCAACAGGAAAAGAGGAATACCAATTATGATATGGACTGATTCCCTAAAGGAACCCGCAGGCTTGGGTTTGCAAGTGCAGGGCAGTTGAGGACGGGATGTTCTGGAGATGGCTCATTCATGGGGTCGCCACAAGTTGGAGGCAATGGTGGTTAAGGACAACAAGGCAAGGGATGGGGGAAAAACAGAAGCCCACCAGGACCACCCCGGGCCACCACTTGCCCACTCCTGGCTTGAGGCCTTGGGGGCCCACTTGGCCAGATGGCTCTGGAAGCCACCGTCAGGGTGCGGGAAGAGGCTGGCAGCCATCTCAGTCGTCCTCTTCTGTACCCCAAATCAGGAATGCATCCCTCTGGAAATGAGCACGTCTACTATAGGAAAACCTTCCTGAATCTGAAACAGCTTCCATCCTTCTTTTTGCACAGAGGCCCCTGGCACTCTGCTTGGCCATGATGATGGGCCGAAGTGATGCTGCTGTCAGTGCAAATCGGCTGATCACTCACCCATCAACAGGAAGCTCAGGATCCACTGGAAGACCGAGAGCAGCTGGATGCAGGCCCGGACGTCTCTTTGCGAAGGCCAGGGAAGGGCCAGGACGGAACGCAGGAGAGCAGCCTGGATGCTGGCATGGCTCCCTGCCAAGGAAAACACAGCTGTCTGCCATCGTCCCCTTCCTGCCTCCTGGTGACCTGCCCCCTCCTGGCCACGTGACGTCCACCTGTTTGCTCAGCTTTTCCTCCACCCTCCAGCCATGGCTTTTCCAGCTGAGCCAGGCCCTGTAGACAGCAGGCAGATGGATTTGCCTCCTTTTTAATTCAGGGACCCCAGCAGGCAGCCAGGCAGGCAGGCAGGCAGCATCCTCGGCTGACGTCTGAGGTCTGGAGCACATGAATACGGCCCTTTATGCCCCACTAATGGCTTGACTGGGACCAGAGAGGACTGGCTTCTGAGCTGACATGTAAAGTACTCCTCTGATCCAAGGAGGAAGATGGGCAGATAAAGCAACAGCATTCTCCACCCCTCCTTCTCCCCTGCCCCCTGTGTGATCTCACACACCACCGTGTTATTTATTTGAGGAGTGGAAGCATCAGGTGCCCTGGATCCAGAGTGTCTTCGGTGTCCTCAACTACGTATCTGTGAAGTCAGGGACCATGTTTAGCCTGCCGCTCACAACCACGGTGGTGCCCAAGCTCTTCTCCCTGGGCCAGCCTGTCTGAGGCAGAGGCTGCCTGCCAGCCCCTGTCTGGGCACCGAGGCCATCCTGTCCTAAAGCGACTGATAAGGCGGGAGGCCTCAGGTCAATGTCTCTTCCTCCCGAGGCCTCAGCCTTGATACCAGCTTCCCACCCAGCACCAATACCCTCTTCCTCGTAGCAAGTATTGGTGAAACATTAACCCTCACAGAAGACATTGCAAACAGAGCCAAGGGAGCTGGGATACTGATGCACCCCCCACCCCCACCCCCCACAAGAGGCCTTAAGTTTCACATTCAGGAGTAAAACTCACCATGATCTGTGGGCCGGCAGGAAAGCGTTTGTACAGCCCATCTTGACTGGGTTAGTTTCATCACTTGGCTGCATATTTCATGTAAGAGGCACCCTCTCCTCCTTGATGCCCCCCCACCTTCACACACAAATGAAGACACAGCACATGTTTCCATTTGTGGGTGAACTTTGATTTCCTCTTGCAAACAAGCCCTCTAAAGTCAGTTGCCCAGAGAAGCATTCAGAAGTCCTCTGTTCCGTCATCTGAACATTAACCAGCTGGCATTACGAAATGGGGTCGCTCTACAAATTCACGGTCACAGGATTACATTTACAGAATATGTGAATTAAAAAAACTACTTGTGTGAAACACAATGCAGGAAACACGGACCAATAAAAGCAGTTTTAAGATGACAGGTTATAAAGCGAAGAATCCATGGAGAAAACCAATTTACAAGTGACATACTGTAGCTATTGTTATTTGTGTTATGGGGAAACAAGGTTGTTAAACAGTTACATTTCAAAGGTATTATAAATAGAACAAGAAGGAAGTCACTTTGCTGGTTTAATGAGTAACATTTCATAGTCGCTTTCAAACGTGACTTCTGAAATGCACTTTACAAGCATTTTGAGAGAAATCCCCCAAGTTTTCTGCCATTTGCTTAACAGCCCTAAGAGGGGATTTCTAATAATCCGTGGTGATCTAAAAGATCCCAATTGATTCGATGCAGCCTTTCCAGCTTTTGCACCATTGAAAGCCAAACATTTCTCTGCAACCTCTGTCTTCCAAATGATGTGCCAGTGCCAGTCATTGCCGTTTTTCCGAGAGTCCAAAAAAGAAGTTGTGCTGATTCACAGAAATGTCTACGCATGCATGGCTGTATGCGCACGTATAATCCGCCCATAAACTCTTACTGCAAACAGTAGCTCTGCACAAACATCATACCCAATTTATTAGCTCCAGCTGACTGCCCGAGAATAGTCTGTGGCAGCACACCTTGGACTTTGGCCTGCAATTGCGTGATGCGGGAGACAGAAAGATGCTGCCTTGCTTCCAAACCGTCTCAGACGTGCCCCCAGAGAGAGAGGTCAACAAGGCAGGGGGCTAGTCAGTCTCCTCTCTCTCTCTCTCTCTCTCGCTGGGGATCTCTTGGGAAGTTAATAGCCCATGGTCTCCTGTCCTAAAACCAAGCCACCCCAAATAGCTGGCATGCCACTAAGATAGGTTGAAGTTGTGAATCTAATTACTTTAAAGTTGACAGCTAAGTGCAGGAAGAAGAGGGGAGTGGGGAAGAGAGGGAGAGGAAGTCTCAGGGTGTCCCTCTCCCAAGCCTTGGCACCACTACAGTGATATGAGCATGTCTGTGTGTCAAGGCAGAAGCAGCTTAGAGCAACTGCAGCAGGGCTTCCAAGATGAGGCACTTAAAGTGAAGTTTCACCAGCGCACACACACATTTCCATGCTGAGTGGGGATTCGAACCCAGGTCTCCTGAAACCAAGTCCATCACTCCTTCCAGTTCACCACTCGGAGGAAGGTGGGCTGTTGGTTTCCCCCTGCTGCTGCACCCTCCATGACAGGAGGGCCTCATAAAGTGGAGGGATGGAAGGGCTGCCCTCACCCGTTCTGCCCACAGGATTTCTTGTGAGCCGGCCGGAGGAGAGTCAGACGGCAGTGGGATGACAGTGGTCTTCCGGGGGCCTTGGGCTTCGTTTTCTAGCAGCCGACCCCAGCCTGGCTCAGGGCAGAGGTTTAGGGGAGGTGAAGCCCAACATTTCAGGAGGGCCAAAGATTCATCACCCCTGAGATGGAGAGAGCGTTCACCTTAACTTTACAGAAGATGTATCAGAGTAGAATCAAAACCTGGCAATTGGGTGACCAGGGCAGAGCGGTTATCCCAGCCTATCCTTTTCCCAAGCTGTTCTTCTGTGAGCTCACAGGAGCACAGGGTGGCCTCCCTCCTCCTCCTCCTGGAAGCCCTGTGGCCGGGCTCAAGGCCACCCAAGCGCCTCCCGTGGCCTGATGGGGAGCAGTGAAAACAGGCAGGCCTTGGGTTCCAAGCCAAGAGTGAGAAGCCTGGGATAGCTCATTTAGCTTATCTATTTTCATTGCTTTATACTGTTTGTGTTCACATTATTTGCTATTAAAGTCTCCAGGCAGTTCAGATTAAAACTAGGCATGACAACTGTATAAAAGTAATATCCAAACCCAAAAACATTTCACAAAGAAGACAAGAAAAGGAGCAGAGCTAGAGCGACCAGGAAGGAAGCTTCCGAGAGGAGGCTCAAAGGAACACGCTTGCTTTTGCTCTCTGGGAGTCCCAAAAAGCAGGCCCAGTCGCTGAATAAGGCAGGAGACCTACTTTTGTGATGTTGCTGGACAGCTGTATTTCGGTTGTGGAATAGCCAACAGGGCTGGAAGAGAATATCTCAGCCCTAGCGGACTGCAGACCGAGGAGACCTCTTAGGGAATCCCAGGCATTCGGGGCTTTGTGTATTAGCAAAACCTGGATGTGGTTTAGCAGCTAAAACAGGCAGTAGGAGCAGAGCTCCTCTTCCAGCATAGATGTTGTGGGTGCAAGGCAGGGTGCCTCTCTGAGCCCTGAAGCTGATGCTCTCTGCATGTGGTTTTACCTCTGAACATGTCGGTGCAACGGTGGCCCCCCGCACAGCGCATGCTAGTAATCTAATGATGACACTCCCAGCGTGCGTGGCCCATGGCAGCAAAGTCACCAGGGAGTGGCAGAGGGATTGCCACCGGACTCTCTTCCTTGGTGGGGTCAGTTAGGTCCCCAAAGATGGGCACAGGACACCCCCAAACTCCATGCCTTGTCCTGCAGAGGAAGTGCCACTGTCTGCAGCACAAGGCGCCCCGCAGCGGCACCTCCCGGGAGGCCGCTTCTCCACAACCATCCCCTGGAAAGCTCAGCGGCTCCTTCCCGCCAGAGCCGAGGCCATTGCTAAGCCCAGGGTGTGGGTGCCAGAGGCACATTCCGAGTCTCTCCCTTTCACAAGACACCCACTGGGCTGCATTATAGTCAACACAAATTATTGACAATTACTTACGATAACGAGGAACCATCTTTTGGCTTGGTTTGTGGAACAGAGGATTGTACCTGGCAAATCTCATCCCTCAAAAACAACCCCCCCCCCCAAACTGCCAAAAGTCAAAATTCCAATGTGATACTTTAATTCTGAAACCTGTTTATATTTAGGTGCAATTTACGCCCCCTGAACTAGTACTTCAAGTTATAACCAAACTCCTCACTGGCAGCCCCCTCCCATCCAAACATCAGAAGGGAACCAGGAAATTGGATTCTGGAAGCAGAATTTCAGTTGCAAGAGGACACACACCACCAGCCAACGCTGTAGCAAAAAGTCATCACGGGCCATTTCTCAGCCTTCAGCCTCTCTTACCGCTCTGGTTTTGTGAATAAGCAGCGATGATTGTTTTCATGGTGTCCACAGCACTCCCGAGTCCCTCCTTCGGTCTGCTTTGGACTTTGCTTCCAACAACAGCTGCAAGGCAGCTTTGCAAGTCGGGAGCCCCGTGCTTTTGACTTTAGACCCTGCTGGGGCTTTGCAGTGAGGCCAGAGGAGAACTCAGTCCATGGGAGGGCAGGCCAAGCAGACAAGTAAGTCCTCCTGACCCTCCCACAGGCTCACAATTTTCCAATAGGACAGAAATGGGGAAAGGGAGCCCTCCGGAGGACGCAAAGGCCCACAAAGGCTCCAGCTCCCCCCTCCCTGCCTCAAAGGGTGGGCAGATGTGTCACTCCGCCCGCCCGCTGCCCCCCCCAGGTCAGGGTTATGGCTTTGGCCTTGCACCCTCTCAGCACATCCAGGACAGTATCTTTGTTTGGTGTTCTTTCTCTCGCACATACAGCTACACTTTTAATACAAATATATATTTTTTAAAAAACCGTATTCATTTGAATGGCCTTTATTTTTGTTCCTTCACATTCAAACTGTTTTTTCCCCTTCCCTTTTGACCGGCCAACAGATCCTTCCAGTGTCCTCCTCAGGGCCACCGAGACCACATCCTCCCAGGTGACTTGGGAGAGGGGAAGGGCGGCCATGTGGATAAAGGAAGTTCCCTCCAAAAGAAGAGTGGCTACTGGAGCAACCAAGCAGCTTCACCGCAGCTCAGTTGTCCTCCTGGAATCTTCCTGGAAGGAGAGGCAGCTGGATTTCAGAAGGTGGTGCTGGGGATTTCTGCTGCACCCTGTCACCACAGGCCTGGTGTTGTTTTTTTTTGGGGGGGGGAGAGGCTGAGTACTGTAGCTCCCCTTTCCCTCCCCATGCTTTTCAACAGGTACCCCAAACCATGTTCTTCTAGAGCTTTGGACAAACCTGTGTTTCTACCACATAAACCCAGGGAAGAGCCAGAAATTCTGAACTGTGCCTGGAGGGTTTTCGGATGGCTAATAAACAGAGGCTTAAGTGCTGGCGAGACAGAGCTCCCTGTGGATGGGGAAACTGGCTGTTCTGGACAGAGATCTTGCACGGGGCTAGAGACGGGGGCCTCCATTCCCTCTGAAAACTCCACAGGGTTTGCTATGCTTTTTAACCAGCTCCAGCGGCCTGGGGAGAAAAACAGATCTTGCTCCAGTAACCTGGGCTGTGGTTCCTTCTAACCTGGATTGCAGCAATTTGCTGTGCATGGGGCAGCCTTTGAGGCAACCAGGAGCAGAAATTGACTCCCCACCTCAACCCCAAAACCATCCTCAGTGAAAAAGAATGGGAGAGCTGGAAAAAAGGCATTTTTCCCACTTGTAGTGCAGGACTAGTAAAAGAAACCATGTTTTTATATCACATCTTAAAAGTGGATGAGGCCTTTCTCTGGGCAGGCCGACTCCTTGCAGCGGTCAGTCACACTTCTGTGCTTGAGTCACCAAATTATTAAAAGCTTTTCTGATTTACAAATTAAGGACCTTAAGGTTTTCCCCTGAATGAGTCGGCCAAGGCATTCTGTTTTACTTTTTAAATAAAGAGGTAACAGCTGAAATCCTTTTTGTGGAACTGGGCCTGCACAGGGCTTATGATGTCATCAGCCAGGGCTGTTTTTCATACGTTAAAGACTTCCAACTCTATCCCTACCCCTGAATAGTTCCTGGGACCCATTTCATCCTGGGAACTTTGGGGGCAGGAGTAGAGAAAGAGTCTTTAATTTCCCAAAATCACTACCAGTGGTAAAATCGTGTAGTGAGAAAGGTCTTTCCATCCCATAGCTTCCCCCGCCCCTATGCCAAGGGCTTCTCAGAACAAAATAGAACCCTAAGGAAGACTCTGATGGTGTGGGAGGAATAGAAGCCTTTCACTTACACAAAAGGACCACAGCTGGTGACATCATCAACCTTATGCAGCAGACGATCCACGAGCAGGATTTGGGCCACTGACAGAGGCCTGAGGGAAATCCACTTGGCTTATCAAGCATGGTTTTAGGAAATGAGAAATTCAACCCTCCCATAAGGCCTCCACATGATGACGTTTTGGCTGCCTCTGCTTCCTGGCACACATACAAGGTCAGCCTGATATCGAACCTCACCCCACCCTGACAAACCTCATCCTGCCCACCCTTCAGGAGAGGGAATCCACAGGAGGTGCGGTGTGTATTGACGCTCCAGGTGGTCAGCCAATGGGGCTCATGGTTCTGCTTAGGCTTGCACCTCAGCCCATGTTCTTCCGGTTGCCATAACCTCTTGGGTGGGTGTCCTTCCACTCGTCCCATTCCCGTGCTTTCTGCACTGCTTCATCCCTCTCTTCCTCCTCTTCCTCCTCCATGTTCTTCTTCTCTTCCTGGTCCTTCTGATGCTCTTCTACACCCTCTAGAAACAAAAAGCCATAGCCACACTGAGACTCTCAGCCGGCTGCCCTGAACCACACAATTCCCACCAACCCAGAACACAAGACTGCCAGCTTACTCTGAGGCTGGCCACCCATTTCCTGCAACATTTATATTATGAAGAGTTGGGTGTGTGCTGTGTGACGCTGAAGATGGCCTGTGTGTGCTGAGAGAGTGAGAGTCCAGCAGAACAGGATTCCCAGATCAGGCCTGCTTTGCCTGGCCCTGAGATCTGCACACCTGTAGGCTCAGCAGCAGGCCATTCCCCACCCACCTCCTACCTGTGCACCTACCAGAACCTTTTGAAGAGATGCCTTGGTCTGGTAAGGCCCCATGCTTCCGGTGCTGCTCATACCAATCATCCACTGTCATCGTTGCCAGGCTTGGGTACCCAGCACCAAACACCCTAAGATTTAAAAAAAGAAAGAAAGAAAAAGGCCGGATAGCACTTCAAGGTGGCCCAAATACTGCCTTGGGTAGAAGGGGGACTTCCAGAGAACCTGAGGCAAGGAAGGGAGCAGCCCCCAAGGGTTCCCCAGACTGACAGTTCTGTTGTTCCTTCCTTCCTCCTCCCCTCCCCGCAAAATAGTGATATACTTGGCCTGTGCAGCATCCCGGGTAAGGATGAAGGGTTTCATTGGAGGCCGTGGAGGCGAACAAGGCTGCCTGGCTGAACCCTAGAGAAGAGGGGAGTGGGACAAAATAAGCAAAGCATTTCTCAGTACCTGTTCAAAGGCTCCCACACACAAGCACTGCAGGAAATGCCTTGTGCAAGGCAGTGGGGAGAGGCAGTGGAGACAGAAAGCTCAGTCACTGGGGGGTTCCTGCCTCAAATAAGGAGAGCTGAGCTGGATCAAAGCAAGAGTGCCTCCTGAGCACAGCCCGAGTAGAAATGTGCCCTCTTCCCGGCTGCCCTCATGATGAGGAGCCACTAGTGTCTTCGGCCTCTTATGTGAATCGAAACATCAGCCACAAAGCAAACACGGGTCGTGGGGGAGGTCTAGCCAGTTCCTTCTTATGCAACTGGTTCAACCTGCACTCTGAACGGGTAGCCCAGGAAAAGCTGTTTATCAGATTGTCCCCATCTCTCACCCACCCCCTGGCATACAGCTGCCCTCAGAGCATCATGGGCAGGCTCTCACCTGCTTCAAAGCGTCCCGTCGACTGAGGATGGCTCTCTCCTGATCAATGCTCTCAATCTCCTCCAGGCTCGTGCTGACCCACTTCTTTATCTGCAACAAATAGAACTCCCGAATCTGCTCCTCGGCTGCCTGGCCACTGTCGATGAAGGCTTTTAAAGAAGCCAGTTGGTTCTCTAGCTCCTTCTTCTGCTTGTACCTCAATTTCATAAGAGAGAAAAAAAAATGCCTTCAACAGACTTCAGCTGCAGGTTGACAAACGGCAATACTTCTACAGTACCCTGGACAGGATTCATTCTTAGGTTGGAAATGCTGCTGCTGCTGCCGCCACAGACTAAGGTTGCTGAAGCAAGGACTGTCCATTAAAAAGATGCCCTCCCTCCTCTCCCTGAGCATCTAGAACATATCACACATTTTATTTATTAGGCTCATTTTCTACTTCCCACCTCCATCTAAACATCACTAGCAATAAAATAAATTAACACAGATAAAGCTGCAATATCAAAAAATAATAAATACACTATGTGTTAAAAGCCAGTTAAGAACAAATTAAAAAAAAACTGGGAGGAAAAGATAGCCCCTGTATGGATTAAAAGCTCCCTTGACTACCACACACCCTAACTGTCAAATGTCCACCTGAGAGCAAAAAAGTCTCTGCCCTGGGGTATCAAGAGGCAGGAGGGAGCAACTCAGCTTCCACAGCCAGGAAGCAGCTACCAGGAAGATCCCTTCTCATGCCCTCATCAATGTTTCTTTCAGGGTGGTGGAGCAGAGATAAACAGAGACCACTGCATTTATGAGACCTTCCCCTGACAAACTCAAAGCCCTGGCAGTCCCTCAGATACTCTGGGTCTGCATCACACTAGTAGCATGTGTGGCAACGGCTAGATTGGTCATCTCAGGGAACAAGCACAAAGAGAATCTAAATGCTTAAAAGAGATCCCTCTGCTTATGAGACACTAACTGAGGGGCATACCTACTCAACATCACTAGTGGTGGATGAATAATGGCAACAGGCTGTCCAGCCATGTGAGAAATCCCACAGATCTCAAATGCCAATGGAGATCATGATGTGATGCCTTCAAAAAAATTCAAGCCACTGGTACTAACACAGCAAGTGGGAGGCCCTGCAGGATGACGACACCCTCTCTTGGCCACCTGCATTGACCAAATGGACACCATCCCAAGGCAGGAAGAGCAGAACAAGCACTGCCTGCCTGCTCACCTTTCGATCTTGGCCTTCCTATTCGAGGCCATTGTGAGGAGAGCAGTCTGGTCAGAGGCTGGCGCCGGGCTGCTCCAGGAAGTCCCAGCAGATTCGCTGTCCTCAGGTTCCCGCGGAAGCTCAAATGGCACGACCTCGTAGTCCTTGCACACTCTCAAGAAGTCCATGAAACAAGCCCGGGCCCGCTCCACGTGCTCCAGGCGCTTGTTCGGATTGACCTGCTTCAGGATGAGGGCGGCCAGCAGAGCAGGCACCAGCATGAACCTCAGGTCGACCGACGGGATCTCCTCCAGCTCTTCATTCCGGCTGCAAGGAACCAGAGGCAAGGAAGGGTCCCGTTGGGTGGGAAGCAGGCGCTGGAAGGACCCACCACGCCTTTCAGAGTCACCAGGCCCCGTGGGGCTTCTCCTTCCCTGGACCTGAGGTGGGAGACCGGGGGTGGTGGTGGTGGAGTTTCGGGCCTTTGGGGCGCCCTCTTGGGACCCTGGGCTAAGAAGGGGGGGGCAGGACGGGGAGGCGGCTCCTTCCCCCCCCGAGGGATAGAGGCCCGAGGGGGGCTTCCTCCTCTGCAGCTAGTCAGGGGCTCTCTGGGCATGGGCAGAGTGCCCTCCGCCGGCGCCGGGGATGCCTCTCCCACTGGAGGGGGCTCTGGAGGCAGCTAAGGGGGGAGGCAACAGGGCGAGGGGCGGTGCGCCCCTCCCCCGGTGGCCAGAGGACGCGGCTCGGCCTCGAGGAGGCCGGCACTCTACACATGCTCTACGGCCCCAAAGCCCAACCTGAAGAGCTGGAGCTCGGTGACCGCGCGGGCGGCCCGCTCCAGGAGGGCGATCCCGCGCTGGACCTTGCGCTGGACGGCGGGCGCCCCCGAGGAAGGCTCGGCCCCGCTCTCCACCTCCTCCAGCAGCCGCCATCCGGTCTCCAGCAGCTCCGACAAACGCTCCGGCTCCTCCGTCGCCGCGCTGGCCGCCATCTTGGGAAGGATCGACGCGCCGGAAGTGACGCGCAGGAAGTAGAGCCTGGGGGAGGGGCGGGTCGGGTGCTTCGAGAGCGGCGCAGGCGCTCTCCCGCCTGTTGTTCTCCCTCCTTCCCGTCCAGCCCCCGCCGGCGCCCTCCGAGCGCTTCACATTCTCCGGCACGCCCCCTCGAGGTGCTTCGGGGCGTGGCTTGGCGGAGGAGGCGGAGTCTCTCTCTCTCTCTCTCTCTCCCTCGCGCGAGCCTGCCTGGCAGGGTGGCTGTGCGCGAGGAGGAGGTCCGCTGGGGTCAGATGGCCTCGGTTTAGGAGGCGCTCTCCGGCCTGAAGCGATGTCCGTATCCGTGGGGAGTCCCGTTTCTGTGCAGCGCTTGGGACAGGGCGCGTCCAAACGGGCGCTCTCTCAAGGGTCCCCGTGGGTCAGCCAGAAACGGACTCCCCGTGGCCGGAGGGAAGCCGGGGAGGGACGCAGGAGGAGGAGGAGGAAGAGGAGGCCGTGCCGGCTTGCCCTGCCCTGCTGGGGTGCTCCCCGGGGGAGCGAGTGGCCACGGCTGGGGGGGGCGGCGGCGGTCCTCCTCTGCGCAGGGGGAACCCACTTCCTCCCTCTCCGAAGCGGGACTGGCCGGCCTGCCCAAGACCTCCAGGACGGGAAGGGGCTGAAAGGAGGACCGAGGCTTGGCGGCTCGTCGCG